AAGAAAACTTGAAGGAAGCAGATTCTCCAGTGTTGGCTGGTTCCATAAGAGAGCAGAGCTTTAAATATATTATCTCACCTAACCTGAAACAAGATGCAGAGAGGTGGATATATAGAGCATGAAATGATCACTGTGATATCCCTTGAAGATTTAGGTGTTTAGTCTATGATCCAGTACTGACCATCCAACATCAATACCTGACCTCACTAATGCTCAATCAAATCCTCACTGCAATGTTCCAACATCTAGTGTAAAGCCTACTCGGAAGAGTAGAGGATGTTACTGCAGCACAAACTCACCGTTAACACCTTCATTTCAGAAGAAACGATGGAGTCGATGGACTTTTGAAGATATAGTGATGGTGATCTGGACAGGGATTAATCCTAGTCCTGGAACGCCTTTTCTTTTCATTTGAGAATCTCCATTCAGAACGCTGTGTGTAGTTTAGGACTGGGCTTGATCCCTGTCTGAGAAACAGCCCCATAATGTGTTCATTTTCGTCTACACTTATATTATTGCTGTTGGAACAAAACCTTGTATCATCAAAAAAGTAACCTATTCTCAGTGTTACTGAGCTCTGCTAAAGCCTGAGTGGACTGATAAATCACTGTGATCAGTTATTAATCTCAGTGTTACTGAGCTCTGCTAAAGCCTGAGTAGACTGATAAATCAATGTGATCGGTTATTAATCTCAGTGTTACTGAGCTCTGCTAAAGCCTGAGTAGACTGATCAATCAATGTGATCGGTTATTAATCTCAGTGTTACTGAGCTCTGCTAAAGCCTGAGTAGACTGATCAATCAATGTGATGAGTCAGTTCTTAAAGTCAGTGTTACTGAACTCCTTTGAGGGGTGACCAAACAGTCGTCTCAGTAGTGGACATGATCACAAATGTATATGTTTCATTGTAAGTTACCTACAGTGCTGTGAAAACATTTCCCCTCTTCTCAATTTCTTCCATTTTTGCATATTTGTCATACTTGAATGTTTCACATCAACAAACTACTTTCAATATTAGACAATGAAAACCCAAGTAAACACAAAATGCTGTTTTAAATGATTTTGCTTACTGAAATAGGAATTAATTTGTAATTAGATTGTGTTAATTTGATGTTCAGAGAATTCCACTTGTTAAGCCCCTGGATGTTTTTTATAACTCTCCTTCATATTTTCTTACAAACAATATAGTGTATCTTTAAAAAAAAATGTATATGTGCAAATAAAGAAAAGAAAACAAAACAAACATCCAGGATTCACTTCCCAGAATGTATTTAATACTGCTTATGCAAACGCTGACGCTTGTAAAGGAGATTCAAGTGACTTATTCTTTATTTTTTATGAAGAAATTTTACAATGAATCCATCAGTAAAGACTAAGAGCCTGTTAGCCTAGTAGCTGTCTGCTAAGCTGTTCAGCCTAGATCTAGTTAAGCAAAACTTTTTTACTCATATTCACTTTTACTTTATATATACCGCAAAAATGTAATTTTACTACATTTCCCTTTAATTTATAGCTACAAACATATGTGTTCATGAGATCCTGCTGGTGTGGGTTTCCTCTCTTTCAGTGACTTGAGTGCTAACAGACTGCAGAACAAGGGATTACATATTTATCAGTCAAAATGCAGACAGATGATTTAATAGATTGTTTTTTTACTGATTAATGTAAATTGAGTTTTATTTATCAAATAATCATTTGAAATTTAAAGCTAACACCACTAACAGGTTCCTTAGGTGATGCATTCAGCCACAGGAAAAGACAACAGCATAACATTCTTGCCTTTTATTTGCTGAGGCTATTATAATGTCTTGTTACTGTTCAGAAATATTATTTTAATATGTACAGGTGTATGTGTATTTTACTGCACAGCTGAGATGCACATTAGTGGTTTACAGAGACCTGACTTGATGATGATGATGATGATTATTATTATTATTTATGAACAAGCAATTATACATTTCCTTTCCTTCTGATGTTTAAGACGCTGTTGCTGTGTGTCAGATATTTCTTAGTGCATGCCACAAACATTTTTACAACTAAATCACAAAAAACTGAAATACTTATCATTGGTACTAAAACACAGAGGAAGCTACTTCATGAGAATCTCAGCTCTTTATCTTCATTTACCAAACCAGTAGAAACCTGGGTGAGATCTTAGACTCTGAGCTCTGTTTAATCTGCATGTAAACAGTCACTAAAGCAGCTTTTATCATGCGAGAAAATCACTAAAGTTCAGCCTTTTCTCTCTCAGAGCGACACAGAGAAACTCGTAGCTGTGTTTGTTCAGCAGAGTTGATCACTGTAATGATCTTCTGACTGGAGAAAACAGTCCATCCTCTAGAACCCGTACAGAACGCAGCAGCACGGATCCTCACAGCACCAACACAGAGAGCTCATATCACCATGTTCACACACTGCACTGACCGCCTGGATCTGTTAGAGAGAGTTTAAAGCTCTGCTGCTGGTTTTTAAAGCTCTAAATGACCTTAAAGCTCCTGAAGGTCTGTTTATGATCTCAGATCTGCAGATTCTGACCTTCTGAACTCCTTCAGTAAAACACAGAAAACGTGGAGAGACTTTCAGTTATTCTGCTTCTAAACTGTGGAGCTCAGTTCAGCTTTTATTAGACAGTCGAGCTCAGAGCTCACTTTTAATAAACATCTGAAAACGCAGCTCTTTAACTCAGAGCTTCAGTAAAACGCTACGACTCTTTGGTCTTTATCTCTTTAATCTGAACTGACCATCTGGTTTGGTTCCTCCATAAGCATTTCATTTGATACCTCACAAGAACGAGTCATCGAGGATCATGGAATGTATCTTTCAATGCTTCAAGACATCGACAACAGCAGGGTGATGAAGTGTGCTGGCAAAATTACAGCTGACCGCTCTCATCCTGGACATCACCTCCTCCAGACACCCTCCTCTGGTAGAAGATTCAGGACCATCAAAACCAGCACAGCCAGACACACCAATAGCTTTTTCCCCACAGTGGACACTCACACTTTACACTCAAACTAAACCAACAGAGGACATTCTGTAGTACATGACCATTTACACAGATGCACACCTTACATTTCTACAAATGTTCATATTATTCTGGAATATTCTGTATGTAATAGTTTTTATATTATGTCATCAGACCTTCACATGTACAGATATTCACACTTCTCTTTAGCTCCTCATGGCTCTTTATCATTCATTATTCTTTATTTTTTATTCTATTTTTATAGTATTTGTCTCTTAGTTAAATACTGTTAAGTCTGTGTTCTCGTCTGGTCTGTTCAGTGTGTTAATATCAGTCGTGTGTGACTCACCGAGATCAATTCCCTGAATGTGTCACATATTTGGCAAAATAAAGTGATTCTGATTCAGACATTGTCTTATACGATTTTAAATTAATACTCATAGTTTCTTCTATTACTTTTAAGCTTTATCAGTAAAGCAGTCTGTAAACTACTTTGAGCTGCCACTAGCATGAAAAGTGCTCTATAAATAATAATAATAATAATTATTATTATTATTATCATTATTATTTTATTTTTTCATTACTATTTATTTATTTATTTATTTTTATTGTTTGCTTTTTTATTAATCTGGATATCATCAAGATAAATGGGTAGTAGCAGAATGAAAACTGATTCAGGTTGGACACAAAAAGAGGGATTAGTGATAATAATGGATTTATAATCAGTCATACAGAGCTAACAGAGTAGAATGTGTAAAAAAATGCTACCAGGAAACATCTTCAACTTTAAACAGCGGATCTGGTCTGACAGGTCGGTGCCACTGTTTTAGTTTCACATTGTACATATGTGCAAACATAGACTGCATGAAGCCTGACTGTAGCACAAAGATAATGGGTATTAAGTTATTCATATGCATATGTATTTCTTTATTTAATTTAGTGTAAATAATGCAGAACCCACCCCCTTTTATGCAACTATGTCACATGCTGGACATTTAAGGCTTGTTTGACTTGAGTTCAGTTCCAAATGACACCCTAAGACCTGCAGTCCCCTTCAAAGTCAACACTTTGGTGACGTCAGCAACACGCAGATCCTTTAGTGAAGAGACCTCGAGTGTGTTCGGTTTATTCAATACAGACTCATGTAACGTTGAGGCTCTGCGTGTGCAGCACCCAGTGTATCAGTCACACTCGTCCTGTTAAATGAGTTAATACGCTCACCGCACAACATGGTGCAGTTTAACTTTTGGTTAACAACATCCGTCACCGTCTCAGTCAGCACCACACACTGACTTAATACATGAGGTTTTAGCGGATCAGTGATGTGTATCAGATCATTCAGGTGCTCCTCAGCACAGAAGAGATAAAGGGACAAACATGCAACACATCTGAATATAATCCTCTCTGTCATGACGGCCAGACAGCTGTTAACAAAATCATCCACTCCTCACCTGATTGGTCCCCATCTTTAGCTCATGGAATTTTGGATAGTAGCTAGACAATATGGGTATATGATTCATATCAAATTAATATTACAAAAAAAAATTATATTGCCAATATTTCATGTTTTGAACACTTCGAGAAGGTCTGCAAATATGCTTTTACATCTAAATGAAAATGTTCAAATGTAGGATTGTTTCTACACTATTTCAGTTTATGTTCAAGTGTAATTATTACATTAATCACAAAAATGTTTCAGGAATATTTCCAGTGGGGTTAAACATTAGCATAACATCTATTTTCTTAAAAACAATGTCAGTGTCTGCTCTGCGATGTATGCAAATTTGCAAATCAGTCCAGAATGTTTTTACTGCAGGACATGACCTGAAAAGATGCTGCATCAGATCCCAAAATCTGCAGATTACAAAAAGCAAAGTGAAAGTACTGCAGTTCGTCTCCACCCAGGAGCACGAGCTGAGAGACGACAGACGTCTTAGTCCTCATTGACTAATCTGTCCGGTTTGATGGCTCGCTTCTAGCTCCTCCCCCAAATGCAGTCGACCGCCAAGGCGCAGTTCAGTCACTGAGCAGTTCAGCTGAGTGACAGTCTGCTTTATTTCAGCTCCAGTTACTGAACCATAATATGGTACATATAATTAAAGTTAGTTGGGTTGTTTTGCTCTACGCAGCCTGTCCACTGAGCAGAAGAGCGGGTTCAGCTGTAGGAGTCAGTACAGCCGGTTTAGTTCATAGTTCAGGTTCAGTACAGCTGCAGGAGTCAGTACAGGCTGTTTAGATCAGGATCAGCTGCTGATTCAGAGCTGTGATATGGTTGACACAGAGAAGTTTCCAGCATCGCTTTACTGCCTCCTGCTTCTGCTCTCTGGAGTCTCCTCTTACAGTAAGTCTTTAATCTTTTAAAACTAGACTTCTCTCAGTCAACTACAGATAAACAAGAAATGTAACACTGTTTTTCTGTTTTTGCAGTATTCATTTTACAATTTGCCATAGTTTTCACCAAACATTATTCAAATTCAGATGCTAATTAGACAGTTCACAAAAATATTTAATGCAGATATGACTATAGTGGGTTAAGGCTGAGCTGATATCACCTGAAATTAAGACACAAGCTGAGTTGGATGGGTCTGTGTATCCATTCGAGGGTCCTTACTGTTCAACCTTTATAAGCTACCACTGGGCCAAATCCTTAAAATACAATCAATTATCTTACTATAGCTACACAGACGCCCAGATCTGCGTACCTTTCTCGTGTGATGGCTACAGCCCCATTGACCCTTTATGTGATTGTCTTGAGTCAATAAATGACTGGATGAAAGAAAGCTTTCTCCAACTAAATAAGTAAAGACAGAGGTGACTGTATTTGGTAGTAAGGAACACAGACGGGAGGTCAACACTTCTTTACCCCAGAGCTCTCAGGGCTAAAGATCAAGTCAGAAATCTTGGCATAACAATCGATTCAGGTCTGAATTTCAGCAGCCATGTTAAAGCATTCCACTGCCATGCAAAGTGACCAAACAAAAAGGGGAGACACTGCACTCATAGTAGTTTCTGTTGTCAGCTTAACACATGCAGCAGTGTCGGTGTGCTATTCTGTGTTGGGCTGTAGGACGGTTGGTGTTGGGTTGGGGTCTACCATGGGGTCTATACAAATAGACCTGCCACGATTTACTTTGAAAGACTTTTTACAATACTAATTCCAGCAAAAATGTAATATGTAACATGATTTCAACAACAGTCAAAAGTTCAGAACCAATCTCTTTTTTACTGTATTAGTTCTCCTGGTAACTGTCATGTCCATGTCATTACACTGAGGCTGCAGAGGGAACTGATTTACCTCGTCTCTTCAAAGTGTTTTAAGCTGAGTTGGACTAAATGTACTACAAGAACGTTAGTGTTGCGTCTATTTTTCCATGTCACTCAAAGTTTCAGACATGGAACCTGTTATTACACATGTGAAACAGTGTGGAGTGGACAACCTTAGAAGACTGGTTTTGGGTGGGGCTGCGTGTTTGCAAATTGCTTAGTGCTTAAAAGCATTACAGTTGTTCGATATTTGTCAATATATATCAACATATGAGTCCAATAATTATGAGCCTGACCTGTCTTCTGTCTTTGTTTGTCCTACAGCTGAGTTCGAGGTCTCAGTGCCCAGTGGTGGTCAGGTCGGGGTCTATGGGCAACCCGTGGTTCTGTCCTGCAGCTTTCCCACCGGAGGCTCCTGGGATGTGAGCAGCAGTGAGATCACGTGGCAGCGCGGCCTGGTGAACATCCACAGCTTCTACCACAGCCGAGACCAGCTGGACCAACAGCATCATCACTATGCCAACCGTACCAGCCTGTACCACCAGGAGATAGCAAGGGGAAATGCATCACTCAGACTGGACCGGGTCACCCTGGAGGATGATGGAATATACACCTGTTCGGTCAGCACACAGATCGGCAGCCAGAAGAAAAGCTTCAGACTGAAAGTAGCAGGTAAGGATGCTTTACAGTAGAGAAGACATTCACTGTCCACTTTACTGGAGACCACTACAAGTTGGCTGGATATTTTTGGTGTCGGTGTGTGACGTTAATACGTAAAGACATACAACGTGGTGTGAAAAACTCAACACCTCTGATGTTTAAATGCTTATTTCAGGCTTTACAGACGACTCACAGCTTTCAGATTGATATTTGATGTGTTTATTGAACTCCAGATGAGCAGAATGTCTAGGTGACGCTCAGATACCGCACTAAAATATCTGTTTTTTACTCATTTTAATGCATTTGCAACAGAAATAAATGTTATATTAATTCATGTAATGCTAGTCTAGGTGGATTTTTACATTTTATAAATGTTTAAGAATCAGTATGGGCAGATATGTACATGAAAAATATCAGACATCAGCATCAGCCCAGCTGCATCCAAACTAATGTATTCATTATATATGGAATATTAACCAGGTGTTATAATATTATGTTCTTTTCTATAGCCTTTTACCCAGAGCCTCATCTGCGCATCAACCTGTTGAGTAACGGGCAGGTGGATCTCCTGCTGACCTCACAGGGAGGTTACCCCTCCCCATCGCTGCAATGGCTGATGGGTAACTTGGAGGACGTCACAGAGGTAACGCAGCTGGAGCAGGACCAACACACCAGGCTCTACAGCATCAACAGTAAACTCAACCTCAAACGAGGCACCAACTCCTCCATCACTTTCATCCTGAAGAACCAAGATCTGGGGCAGGAGATCAGACGGAACATCGACCTGTTCTTAGGTGAGATTAAAATCCTTCTTCATACACACCTTTAAAAATACACAGGACAAAAACAGCTCTCTGGAGCTGTAGAACCACAGATGGTTATTTAAAAAAACAACAACATTTTAAGTGTGAAGAACCTTTTAGAAGTTAAGAACATCTACAGAGGGTAATTAGACAATAATGCTTTAAATGACTTCGAGCTTAGGGGCAAAGAGGCAGCAACATATGGTGTAGGAGTGATAGTATGAGGGTAGGAAGGTGCCAAATCACAGCAGTATTAGGTTCTGCAGTGCTTTACTTGTGCAGTAAAAAGTGTATCATACGGCCGTGTGCAGAACCAGTACAAACCATGAAAAGGCAGAGCTTACGCAAACTCAGCAGATGTTTGGTTCTAGGTAACCATCAGGTGTAGAGTCCCTGTATTTCTTTAAATTTCAAAAAGGTCACTCACATGTGGTTCTTTAAAGAACCGTCCTGTTCTTTTGGGAAGCTTAAAGAGGATCTTCTATAGAGGAGGTCTACAGATCCGCTCTCCGGTCCTGGATTTTGTAATAACGGTTAGTAACTGTTGATGTAACTGATTGGCCACTTAGTGTCAAAACTACCAGTTATTACAAAATTCAGGTGCTGAAACTGGATTCAGCATCTGGATTTGAAGGCCTCTGCTCTACAGCGTCGCTTTTAAGAAATCTAGGTGCCAATAATGTCAACATGGCTGATGTATTTTTTACATTTCCATTTCTAGAAGACAGAGCTGGCGGTCCACTATCAGGAGACATGAGACAATATGCTGTCCTTGGAGCTCTGATCGCTGCCCTCACAGCCGGCCTAGCAGTGTTAATTATCATTTTCTTCAGACGACGGAAACAAAACAAGCAGAACAAAAACAAAGACTTCAGAGCCGTCAGCTCCACTGATGAAGAGCGATCCATAAACCACCAAAATGGAAAACCAGCCCACTGAGTTTGTTATTTTCTTGTCTTGGGTGAAGAGACTGTATCATCGCAGTGTCTCCAGTTCTCACCAACGATGGACGGTATAGTGGAGATCATGATCGGTCACTTGCACTGTCTGAAAGAAGCCATGCATGAGTCAAGTCCATTTTAGACCACAAATGCTAACCGCACCACTAGTAACCCTGTGCTAATCACTGTAGCCTTTTCCTGGCTGCATGTGGTAAGAAACACAGCAGCGGACACACATGAACAAACTGTGTTTTTACATTCCAGGTGTTTTTGGTGTTTGCTGCAAGTGACATTCCAGAGATTTACATCTAGAAACACTAAAGAATGGTTCTGAAACATCCCTTCAGTGCCCTGTTGTTCAGTCAAGGTCCATCAGTCCTGAAAAACTTGTTTATCTACTGCAGCTGATGTAAGCTTGGCTAGTCATTCTTTAGATGTGTCAAATGTTTGTTGAGAGCAGCAGTAAGATTTGATTGGCAGCTAAAGGATTTTCATTTGCCTGCTCACAATGGAAGTTAATGGCACGTCAGTGCAGCCTGTGTTAAAGTGGCTGGGTTTCCATTCAAATGTTTTGCAGATGTTATGCGCATTTATCGGATTTTGGCAGAAAAAAGCAAATAAAGTTGTGTTTCCATTCACTACAGTGATGAAGAAACTTAAGATGACCCAGGCTACCGTGATTAGGGGCTGCATCAGAACTCGGCTGGAGAGATTTAACTCTGTTTCTGCTTTACTTCTGGCTTCATCAGTACTCTAACTTTTCTACCTCATCCTAGCGTAAAACTCTTTTTGTGATATTTGGGTTTTCAAATTTGACTTTCAGGGTTTTTTGAGCATTTTCAAAAATCGCAAAAACTGGTGGATGGAAAACCCACTGCTGTTTTCGATGATGAATATTCGCTTCGTTTTGATAACGAAGCCCTTCGAGCTTCAAGTACAGCTTGGCTTGACCTACCATCCTTCAAGACGTGTGGAAGACAAGCATCAAGACTGTTCTCTGTTCTGGAGCCCAGGTAGTGGAACGAACTCCCACTGGCTGTCCGAACAGCAGAGTCTCTCACGGTCTTCAAACGCAGATTGAAGACCGTCTCTTTATACAGCACTTAAATGAGCACTGAGTTAAGTATTCATTGTAATGTATTGCACTGCGCTGTGTTTAACTCTGTTTCTTTTCTCTGGGTATCAACATGGACTTTTGTTTCTAGCAGTATCTGAGCTCAGGACTGTCTTTCTCTCTAACCTATTGGTAACTAGCAAAGACACTTTCTCTAGATAGACAAAGCACTTTTTGTAAGTCACTCTGGATAAGAGCGTCTGCTAAATGCTGTAAATGTAAATGTAGGAAACATCAGCTAAACAAGCCAAACACAAGCTAACTAAAACCTACTGAGTGTTTGCTGCCATATCAGATGAATCAGATTCATTTTTAGATGCTGTATAATTCCTAGGTGTTCTGAACAGTGACACTTTTTGAATGTTTATTTTTCTGAATGTTTATTAGTCACAGATTAGGTCGACTGTACGTACTGTTACAGATCACTGTACTGAAATTACATTTATATTTGGTTCACAGTCTGTTTCCATTAGTTTTAATGTCAAAAATGGTTAAAATGTGAAATATAAAAATGCTTTTTCTTCTCACGTAACAAGGCTGAGTGGAAGTCTAATCCTCGCTATGTTAACGTTACTGGAAATTCTGTTATAACAAGATTCTCATCAGTACAGAGCTGCATTACTGTATTAACATAGACTAGAATACTCTGCATGATTTCAGCACAGTGAGTGATTCTGTAACAGTGCATTATGGGATATAAAGTATTTACTTTCTTTAGATTAGGGGGTTAATTATTTTTGAAAGTTTTGTACCAATCAAATGGTAACAATAAAATAAAAAAGTGAAATCTAAATCTAAAACATTGCACTTGTTTATTCTTTCTTCTTTAAGAAAAATAATGATAATTACCAAACCTTTTATCATGATTTATGATGTTATCACTGTAGTGTTTTAAGGAAAACTATAAGGTTATACATAAACATGCGGAATGTATTTTTAAATAGCAATAATTCTGAACAATTTCAATTTTGTCATATTTATTTATTAAAAACTTATTAAACTCCTGATCGTGACCTTAATAAAGTGTCTAACTGTACATACAGTCATATACAAAAGTTTGTGCACCCCAATCAAATGCCATGTAGTTGTTGATTTTCTGAGTGTACATAAATTACACATCTTCCACAGAGACATGCTGGTGCTCACTTTAATACACAATTTACTGATTTTAACATCTTGGAAATAAATAATAAAACAAAACGCAACCTGTACAAAAGTTATTCCATATTTTGTATGTATTTTGTTTTATTTTTTCACATTTGTTAAACCCAGCAAATAAACAGGAAGTGTGCACTGAAATTTGCAGGATAATAAATCCATATGTGTGTGTCTCTGTGGAGGACGTGTTTATGTAGGTTCACTTAGTAAATTAACAGAACATGGAATTTGACTGGAGATGTTCAAACCGTCGCGTTCTGGTTGGAATTGAACTGTTTGTGCCTGGGCAGGCCGTCAGCTGCAGGGGAATTAGGCAGAATCCAGAGAATTCCTGGTGAGCTGGAATGGTTTTGGTTCTATTATGGTGGCAGAACAACACAGCATTTATTAAAAACAGAAAATGTGCTCACAACTAACACAAACAACACAACCAAGTCTACAGGACAAATCAGTATCGTGTCAAAGGGCTTAATGAGGGGTGGATGATGCTGGTAGTGCTGCGTTTGTGCCACGGGACTTGGAGTGACTTACTGGACTTATTACTAAAAACATCAACAGTATTTAAGTTCTTGTTGTTTTGGAAAAATGCGCATACATATTGTGGCTCGGCCGGGGGAGGGGTCGACGCACACTGACCGGGAAACCCAACGAGAGCTCAGAGACACAAACATCAGCGCGAGTGACCAAACACGCCTCATTTACACATCTAAACAAAAACAAAACCCAAACTTGACTCCACGACGGTTTACGCAGCGTCAGCCTGCAGAGAGTCGAGTCTCTTCCCTTCCCTTCCCTTCCCTCCCCTCCCCTCCCCTCCCCTCCCCTCCCCTCCCTTCCCTTCCCTTCCCTTCCCTTCTCTTCTCCGGCGCGCGTTTGGTCCCGAGGCCAGCATCCTCTGCTACTCTCCAGAGAGAGCTCGTCTTCTGGTTTTCAAAGGAGTCTGTGCTCCTCTCCTCATTAGGCACAGCTGAGAGGAGCAGCTCGCACCTGTGTGGGGAGTGGTCACGGCGGCTCCATCTCTCCACCGCCACAATATATGCCCAACCATTTAATCATGCAAAGGAAAATGAAAAGTGTTCCAAATGAAAAGTGAACCATTTTCTTTACTACAGAAGCTATGGAGTCATAATTATCTTGATCCCCACCCCTATTGCGGTGTCATATAAAAATCACACATCTGCCACTAGATGGTGCTGTAACTCTTTACAGCTTACGGCTTCTCTTAAACCTGATAAAGACATGCTTTTACTGAAGTTTAAGGTAAGATTATTGTAACTGAAGCACATCTTCGTCTCAGATATTTTAATATTCTATACTTACAGGCCCTTATATCTTCTGACATAATGTTTTGTGGACGTCATGGCATGTTTTTATTTAATGCTTTATTGCTTAATTAAACACACACTGAGCACCACACTCAGCTACAGGAACTGCAGCACTAATTAGGCTTTTTCAGAAGGTGTTGTTCAGAGAAGATAAAGATGACCTGTGTTTAGGCTTTTCACTGTTACTGACCCCAAAGGGAAACTGTAATAGACACACATCTCATCTCAGCTAACATTTATTCTTCAACTCTCCTCCACACATGAAAGAAAGAAAGAAAGAAAGAAAGAAAGAAAGAAAGAAAGAAAGAAAGAAAGAAAGAAAGAAAGAAAAAACCATGCCCTAGGCTGAACAATTAAAAAAATGATTTGCAGTGACTGCTAATCAGAATCCTTTCCCTGCACTGTATTCGGTATTACTATTCAGTATTCTGTATTCAGTATTCAGTATTCTGTGTTCAGTATTCAGTATTGTATATTCTATATTCAGTATTCAGTATTCTGTGTTCAGTATTCTGTATTCTATATTCTATATTCAGTATTCTGTATTGAGTATTCAGTATTCCATATTCTTTATTCAGTATTCAGTATTCTGTATTCAGTATTCTGTATTCCATATTCTTTATTCAGTATTCTGTATTCAGTATTCTGTATTCCATATTCTTTATTCAGTATTCTGTATTCAGTATTCTGTATTCAGTGTTCAGTATTCAGTATTCAGTATTCTGTATTCTGTATTGAGTATTCAGTATTCCATATTCTTTATTCAGTATTCTTTATTCAGTATTCTGTATTCTTTATTCAGTATTCTGTATTCAGTATTCTGTATTCTGTATTCAATGTTCAGTATTCCATATTCTTTATTCAGTATTCAGTATGGGGTCTGTGTGCAGTATTAAAGCCTTGGTCGGTGGTCAAATCGCTGCTTGTCCTCTGAGAGCTGGTTCTCAGTCTGGTGCTGAGATAAGCAGAGCAGCTCTTTAAGACACAGAAAGCCGGTTCAGTGCAGCAGGGCTGTTGTAGCTGCTGTTGAACTGCAGCTCTGCAGGTGAACTGGGCCTTCAGAGAGGAGTCAACAGGTACCGGAGCAGAGGGTCACCTCACTCACCGAGCAGCACTCCACTGTGAACTCCTTCCTCCAGTCCAGTCATTCCATCCACTCAGTGTTGTTTAGTTTCATTAAAAAACACGGATACGGGGGGGCACGTGACCTTCTAACGGATGGCTGCTTAGATCTGGGCGCCGTTCCCACCGTCGGAAATATATCATTTTATTCCAGGGACAGACTGTTGTTTTTTATTTTATTCAACGCCTAAAGTGTTGAAGACATGTCTAAATCGCAAGAAAGTCGAGATTTTCCGCTCTTTAATGCCTCACGGCCTCAACGCACCAGCACTGCTAAGAAGAAGAGCCTCGACGAACATGGCGACTTTAGCCAAAACGACCCAGTGCTAACCGAAATGCGAGAAATTAGCTCTCGACTTGGATTAATCGACTCTCGGCTGGACAGCATCGACACGCGCCTCAATACCATCGGTAGCTCCATATCCACACTGCAGGAATCGCTGGTCACTTTAACAGAGAGAGTTTCCTCTAATGAAGCCCGCCTGTCTGAAGCCGAGAACAGGATCTCCACGCTGGACGACTCCGCACATACTCAGCAGACCGCGATAGCTAAGTTGAAAGGAGAGCTAGCGCAATTGCTAACAAAAGTTGATGACCTGGAAAATCGGAGCCGGCGCAAAAATCTGAGAATAATCGGTCTCCCTGAGAAAGCTGAGGGTTCCGAT